CCCATATTTGGAAGGGATAACTGTAGTCTTACTGTTCCAGAGTATTTAACTACTTAAATAAGTGTGGGTGACAGCTTTTTCCACAATGACCTCCTCAAATGCCGTGGCTGAAAAATGTATTGCCTTGTTCGCTACCTGGGGATGAGTCCCTTGGACACCCGCCCCCCTACTCTCTCTCTCTGTCTGAACTCCTGCTGATTTTCAGCCCATTCCACTGGTCCTGTCCTCTGAGCCTTTCAACATGGTGGGGCACCGCAGGGCTTGCACTCCTCTGGCATAACTTTGGAGAAAGTCACTTATTGTCTGTAAACAGTTATCTGTTAAGGGAAGAATTCTTTAGACTCCATGTCAGTATATTATTCGTACATAGGAGATAACTGTGTCTCTAGAGCGCCATGTCATCCCTCCAAGGTGAACCCGATCATGTTCTTCCCCAGTTCTTTCCCTGAGATCACTTTTCTCCTCTCCCAGCAGATGCTGATGGGGTTGATCAAAGATTGGATGGATAGGCTGGCAGAGCTAGAAGGGACCTAAGATATCATGTAAGAGAATTTCCTCCAGCAGCTTATTCTTCTCTACCACTGTGCTTTAAACACCCTTTAAAGTGTTCCTCCTGCCCTGCTTGTTGGCAGCAGGCTCCACTTTGGAGGCAGAGTGGATAGAATGCTGACCTGAGTTCAAGTTCTGTGGGGCGGTATTAGCTGGGTAATCCTGGCCTCAGTTTCCCAATCTGTACAAAGGGGATAATAACTAGAGTGCTCACTCCTGCCTGCCAGGGCTGTTGACAGGATCAAATGTTCTGTGTCAGAGCCATGATTATTATTTATTAGGAGGAAACAGACCTAGAAAGGGGAAGTCAGTTACCCAGTCTCTCCCAGTGATTGCTAACTTGAGTAATTGTAGCTGGTAGACTTGGCCAGAAGTCTCCCAGCCTGAGAGGGAGGTGCGAGGCTGAAGCTGCAGAAGGTTGTGGGGGGAGGGTCTCTCCTGGGAAGGCATCCGCCCTCCAGTGTGTTGGTGAAGCGCCTCCGGGGCCGATGTCTTCGGTCAGGTGCACATCGAATGGGAAGCTGAACTTAGTGTTTTCTGGTGTCTGGCATAGCTGTGGAAGAGTTTATGTTGTCTCTGCCACGTTTAAACATTAACCCAAAAGGGCTTCATCTGGTCTGATCTGTTATCAACAATCACTTGGAACACATTCTGGCTGTTGACCTTTGCTTTTCCTCTTGGGATACCAGTACAGCCTGAGTGCGCTCGTTAGCCCACAAGAAAGGACGGTTCTTGATTCTGGGCCCATGTTAGGGTGGTTGTGGTTCAAATGTACGTTATTTAATAACTTGTTCAGATGCTGGTCTTGCTTTACAATTCACAGAGTTCTTTCTTCTCAACAGTCCCTGTGAGGTAGGAATAGTCTAAGTATTGTCCATTTCATGAAGTGGAAAACTGAGGCTCCAGGAGAGTGACTTGCCAAGGCTTAGGGCTTCTTTGACAAAGCTGGGATTTTCACCCAGATCTTCTGCTATCCAGTTTCTTACTCTCTTAACTATATAACACGACGCCACCTCTAAGTAGAATTAGCACACGCTTAGATGGGACTTTACAAAGACAAAAACTTGGTGTGGTTTTACTGGTCTCTTGCAGCAGCTCTGTGGCATCAGATGCGGGTCACTGCAGCTGTTTTACAGATGAAGAGAGGGACTCCTGGAGAATTGAGGTGAAATGATCTGCCCAGCGTCCTAGGGCCAGTTAACTGCAGAGGAGACATTCAAATCCAAGGGTCCTGATATCAGGCCCCACGCTCATTGCCTTCACCCCACTTCTGTCAGGGAGATAGTAATGATGAAATAGCAATTCCTGGAGCCTGAGATGGAGGGCATCCATGTTTCCTTCCTTCAGCTCTGCCAGGTGTCTGAGGCGATGAGTGTGTCCCTGGGCGTGGGCTGCCCTGAGGCCTTCTCCTTGAAGGGCTCCCCTGGAGCTGCTCTAGAGATGTGAGCTGGCTACTGCTCACAGAGTCCTGCTGGCCAACCAGGGAGAGGGCATTGCTGCTGCACTGGGCGGTTAATGAAGTTGAGATAGGGCCTTTTGCTGGGTGACCCCAGAACATAAATTCTGAGAAGAAAAGTGCTTCAGACTGAAAAAAACTGTGTCTCTCTGAACATGTGGATAGATCCTCTGGGGTACTTGCTTTCGAACCCAGTTGACTTAGAACCACAGAGCTTAATAGCTTCTCAGTCTAGGGTGTTAATGAAATTGTAGCCTCCCTCCTCTGAGAGTGCCTTTCAGTTAGTGTTTTCCTGCTTCTCGTTTTTATTTACCTTGGGGAACAAAGCTGATGAAGTGCTTTGGGGATCGCTATCAAAAGACGTTAATTGACAGTCTCAGTTTGAGTTTTCCAATTCTTTTGGCTTCCTTCCTAAATTCCATCACGGTACTTTGTTTTGACTTTAATCATTTATCTTCCTGTTGATGGCTTAAAATCTCGTTCTGGTTTTGTTGTTTTGTTTCTCCCATGGATGTTGGGCCTTTGGTCACTGTTTGGGCACAACACCATGACTGGCCAAAACTGCTTTATGAGCACGTGGTAAGGAGATGGTAAGGTAGCCACTTAATACTGTGGTATTAAGGCAGAGCATATGTACATCTCTCTACTGTGCATGTGTGTGCATATATGAGTATGTATATTACATGTGTAGTGTGGTAGATTATGGAATGAAAGAGAGTCCAGTGGAGTATTAGGCGCCCTCACGTCAGAGGCTGGAAGTGCCCTTGGGGACAAGGGACCAAACAAAGATTCTGGGAAGACCATTTACAGCCTTTCCCCCAGAGTCACAGAACACCCCACACCAAAGGGTGGGAAGTCTGTAAGAAACATGCATGTTTGTTTGTTGAGGCTCCCAAGCTTAGAGCCAGGAATGGAAAGCCAAGGACAGTCCCTGCCCTCCAGGGGTTCTGTGCTGCTCTGAGAAGACCACATTTAGAGGACGCTCGAAGTGGGGTGGGGCGCGGGTATGGCGGAGCCTCCTGGGAGGCTGAAGGGTGCCGTGCTTGGCCTGCAGACTGTGGGGAGAGGAGCGGCTGGAGGGGCAGAGGCCCTTCCAGTGTGTGAAGTTCAGGACGAGGTTGAGCTTCCCTTGTGAAGCCGTTCTGTGGCGTGGTAGAGAACATCTGGAGAACCAAGAGTGCAGACTGTGGCACTGGCGCCTGGCACACGGGGGATGCTTCAGAGCACCATTAGGACACAAAGGCCACTCCCGTGTCCTGGCGTTTTCTGTCTCTAGAATAGGGCAGCCTCTTGTGCTGGGCTCTCCCAAGGGAGATGTGGGCTGCAGATGTTTTTGCTTGGAGGGCGCCATCCTCCTCTCTTTTTTACATCCTGTGACAGAATGGTCTTACTCCATTTCCTCACATACTTCCGATAAATTAAGGGTCTCTTACTTTCCATACTGACAAGAGTCTCATTGAGCATTTCTCCTGCAATGTATCAGTGTACTGCACAGCTCAGGTGGTATGGGAGCAGCCGAGGTGTTTCAGAATTCAGGAGCTGCTGTTTGAACCTTCTTCCTGGTAGCCAGAAGGCTGGTTTCTGAGGCACGCACGTGCCACCTGCCAGGAAAGCTGAAGATTTGGACCTGCCTGTGTTCCTCTGGGGTTGGAGGAGGCCGGCATGCACTTCAGAGTGTTTGAGGGCATGCCCAGTAGGAATGCCAGAGTTGAGGGGTCGAGAGCCAGCCCACTTTATAAACTGGCTGAACATCTTAGGGTGGGAGGGAATGCTTTGGAGGATGTTTATGTCCCCCTAGGATTTATAATTTCTGGCTACCTTAGAAATGATCTAGTCCAGGGTCTTCGTTTGGCCTGACGTGACCAGTGCCACAGAACTCTGGAATAGGCAGTGGCCTTTTGAGTTGAGTTCTCTGGCGCCAAAGTCCAGCAAACCTTCTGCCACAGTATGCGCTTCTCACGATGGCCTCCTGAAAGCTTTCTCCCCCTGCCAGATGAGTCTCACTAGGCAGCTTTAAGGAATGCGAGCTCTTGGCTCGACTGCTTGTTACCAGTAAGTCAACAAACACTAAACACCTACTAAGTGTCAGGAATTTAGTTGGTTGGGGGTTGTCTTTTGTGCTTGAAGAGGACCAAAATGACATCTCTATGGCAGAGTCACAGTGCAGTGTGTCCGCCTGTGGCTGGGCAGACTTCACCAGAGGTGCGCTCCCTAGGAACATTTGTGGTGGAGATGTCTCTAAATTGTGCATCTCACATTTCTTTTGAGCCACTGCAATTCTGCCTTGCTCAGGAACAGTTCTGAAAGGCCTCGGCTGCCTTTGTACCAGCTGAACTGCGTAGTGTATTCATACACTCCAGGTGAAACGCTCAGTGAGACTCTTGTCAGTACGGAAAGTAAGACACCCTTAATTTATTGGGAGGACGCAGGGAAATGGAGTAAGACTGTTCTGTCACAGGATGTGAAAAGAGAGGAGGGCAGCGCCCGGGGGCTGTCCAAGCCTTCCTTGATGCAGAAACATGATGCTGGGTGGTCCTGTGCCAATGTCTCCCTTGCCTCACAATCAGCTTCAGAGTTCTTTAGAGAGACATTGAGAGTCCTTGTATCCCTTCTTCTGACCACCATGTGAGCGCCTGCCTTCCATGAGTTCTCCTTAAAATCGGCTTTTAGCCATTTGAGCCATGTGGCCACCCCATCAGAGCGCTACTCTCCGCAGTAGAGTTTGAACGCTTGGCAGTTCAGCTTGAGAAGGGACTTCCGGGTCCAGTATCTTATCTTGCCAGGTGATCTTCAGAATCCTCCTAGGATAATCCAAATGGAAGAGATTCAGTTTCCTGGTGTGGTGCTGGCAGACTGTCCGTGGTGTTTCACAGGCATACAGCAACGAAGTCAGCACGGCAGCTCTGTAGACCTTCAGTTTGGTAGGCAGCCTAATGCCTCTTTTCTCCTACACTTTCCTTCAGAGCCTCCCAAACACTAAGCTGACTCTGGCAGTGGTTGCGTCAGCCTCATCATCTATGCGGACATCCCTAGAAATATACTGTGAAGGTAAGTGAACTTAACACATAAGCATTCAGAGTGTCTCCATTTACTGTGACCAGTGGTTCCATAAATGGATGTGTGTGTTGCTGGCTGCTGGAGGACCTCTGTTTTCTTGGTGTTAATCGTGAGGCCGAAATTAGCACAAGCAGCAGAGAATCCATACTCTGTTACATCTCTGCCTCAGAGGCTGCATTGAGTGCACAGTTATCTGTGAACAAAACATTGAGCACCAGCTCTCCCTCCACTTTAGTCTTGGCTTGTGGCTTGTACCCTTTTAAGTTAAATAATTTACTGTCAGGGTAGTAGCTGACCTCGATGCCCCGTTTGTTCTCATTGAAGACGTCCAACAACACGTTAAAAAAGCACGAGAGCAAGCGTACAGCCCTGCTTTACTCCATTGGTGACTGGGAAAGCTCCAGAGCATGGTCTCTTATCCAGAACCTGTGCAAGCACGCCGTCGTGGAACTGACATACGATACTGATGAACTTGTCTGGACGACCCAACTTTGTCATGCTCTTCCACAAGTCCCACGACTGACAGTATGAAAGGCCTTGGTCAGATCAACGAACCCTGTGTACAGACCTGTGTTCTGCTCCTGGCATTTCTCCTGGAGTTGTCGGGCAGCAAACACCAGCATTAGGCGCTGGTGATACAAAGACCAAAGTCTTAGCTTGAACAGGTCTCGCCCCCAGAGAGCTGAAGGTCTGTCTGGGGAGACATGTAGAGATGTAGAGATGTACAAAATAGACTGGAGAAATGTGGAAGTGAGAGGCCTGCATGTCTAGATGGAGCAGAAAGTGGCATTTGAGCTGAGCTATATCTGGGGACAGTTAGTTGACTTCACTTTGTTTCCTCATCTGTAAAAGGGATGCAGTAATACCTGCACGACTGACCTCAGGATTTTCATGAGGAAATTACTTTGTCAAACTTGAATGTCCTTACTTAGAGCTGTACGGCTTGCAGAAGGTTTTTCTCTAACCATGTGAGGTGGATGGTGAAATTACAAAAAAAATTATAAGAATTAACATGATCAATCAGCAACCTTGGGAGGTGGATGCTATTATTATCCTCCCCATTTTTACAGATGAGGAGACTGAGGCTGAGGGAAATTCAGTGACTTGCTAACTGTCACAGCTATGAAGCGTCTGGAGCTGGATTTGAGCTCTGGTCCTCCAGCCTCCAGGTTCAGCACTTGGTGTGCTGTAACACCTAGGGGCTTTTGCTGTCTGTCTGGAAATGTCTGGAAATGGGTATAAATTCTCTCCCAGCCTGGACTTTGTTTCTTTTCCATCTCTTCTTTTCTCTTTTTCTGAAATCTGACCCTCTGCTTACGAGGTACGTCAGCTACTACCCGTCCCCCCAACCCCACCCCACCTCCTCAAAGTTGTAGATCACTTTGTCCCTACTTAGACTCTATGACTGAAAAAGAGCATAGCAATTACGTTCAGCCCCTTCATTTTATAGTCAGGGAAGTTTAGGGAGAGGGTGGAATTAGGATTGTTTTTCTCAAAATTGACCTTACCTGATGTTCTGGATTCCTTTCTCCTGTGCTTTGAATACTTCTTATGCATGTAAGTTCAGGACTTGGGCTCGCCATCTTTATTTCATTTTTTTTTGAAATTAATATTTAACAAACATGTGAGAGTACTTTATCCAAGGCTTTTGGAATACACAAGATAGAAGAAATAATATTTTTTTTTGTAATTTTTATTTATTTTTTTGTTTTCAACATTTACTTCCACAAGATTTTGAGTTCCAAATTTTCACCCCATCTTGCCCCTCCCCCCACCCCAAGATGGCATGCATTCTAAATACCCCTTCCCCTAGTCTACCTTCCCTTCTATCTCTCCCCCCCCCTTCTTTTATCCCCTTCCCCTTCAATTTTCCTGTAGGGCAGGATGGATTTCTGTACCCCATTTCCTGTAAGAAATAATATTTTTGCTATATGATCTGCCCACTACCTTTTCCAGTCGTATCTTTAATGTCATTTATACCATTATTATAAAATCCATTATTAGTAATGTTCTCAATCTGTAATTTGGTGATTTCCTTTTTTTCTTTTTCTTTTTCTTTTTTTTTGACTGTAATTCACTTCTCACTTAGAAAAAACCCTCAAGTTTCCTTGAAAGTTGTCAGTCTGGAAAAGAGTGAGATGCTTTGTGCCTTCCATTTGAAGGCTGTCTGTGGACTAGTGAATGCCTTGAAAGCAATCTGTTCTAAGAGTAGCTGCTGGGGAGGTCAGACAGCAAGGATGAAAGACAATAGATGGACTACAGACCGACGGATTAGATCCCACAGGGCCACAAGCAGCCTTTGGACCAAGATGGAAATGACATGTGAAGTTTGGTCTGGTATTGTTTTTAGTGGAATGGGAGGACTGACTTCAGAGCTCACAAATGCAGCACAACCCATTCTGGTTAGGTGTCGTGGCTGCCTTTGATGCTGTTTGTTTAAAGAATGACACACACAGGCACAGAGAGACACACACACACACACACACACACACACACACACACACACACACACA